ATTTGGCTGCCATGGCCGCTATTTTGCTACTAAGTTCTAATAGGCCGATCTCACTTAAAATTGGTCTAGGAATGATCAGCTCATGGTCCTGACAAAGTTAAGTTAACATTATACTATTTTTTACTCAAATTGGTACATATTTCAACAACAAAAATAAATACTGTAGACTCAGGTGACCGTTTAGGCCCATGGGCCTCTTGTTGCTGTTAACTTTTCCTTGTTTACATAAAATCTGTTTCCGTGCGATAACTTGAGTTTCTTTAGGTAGATCGAGCTAAGACAGTGCTTTCTTACCATTAGTGCTTACTTGGGATTGCTTTTCAAGTCCGAAGATCAAAGGTCACCGTTATTATGAATAGAAACTCTGTTTCTGTGAGATAACTTCAGTTACTTAGGGTTGATTGAGCTCATCTCCACACGGTGCTTCCTTACTAAAAGTGTTTGATTGGGATTGCTTTCTCATTAGAGTTGCCAGTGCAAACGATTCATCCACGGAAAAAAGACACGCTTACGTGTATTTGACCCTTAACTAAATTCAGTGACATTCGATGGTATGGTTACTCCTGGTGCTGTACAGGAGCTATTGGTTAAAAGTTAGAAAAGGCATAATCACGGAACTTTGTACGCGTTCCACAAAATTGGAACCAAGAGTTTGAGACACTTCTAGGTGTAACGAACTTTAAAACCGTACCAAAATCAACTTTCGATTAGTACACATCTATTGCATAACAAAACAGCAAATAATCTACTAAAAATATTGCTGCGAATGACTGAAATTGATAGAGGGAGAGCTATTGCCTTAATTTTAAAAGGTCAACTGAAACATGACGTCGCCAAACTTTTGGTGTACATCTATCAACAGTTTCCCGATAAGTTACGTATCTGAGACATACGGGAAGGCTAGTAGATCGTCCCAGGAGTGGACGTCTGCGTGTAACTTTGCAACATTAGGACAGAGGTGTCTGGCTGTCCCATCTTCAGAACCGCTTTCAAACGGTGACTGAAACGGCAACCATTGTGATTGGCAACCATTGACGCCCAATTTGTCCGAGAACCGTTAGAAATCAAGGGCGAGATGTTTGATTTGAGGCCACGGCGTCGTTATGTCGGACCCCAACTTATCAACGTCAACGCAGTTTGAAATTTAGCAGTGCACATGCTCCAACATTTTAGAGAAGCTTTGACAATAAACAGGTTGATGGAGTATATGGAAAGAGGTATTGATTGACGCACGCGGCAGACACACGTGGTATTGAACTGACCCATGGTTTTTGAGGATGGGTCACACTATTGCAATGACTTGTATGGTTACTTGTATTACACTTGTAAGAATCAAGCCAAAGGGACAACATTAATTGTTGGATACAACTATAGCATTTGAAAACGATTATCCTTTGATTAACAAAAATGTGTTCCTCTTTTCCGCCGGTATATTTACGAATGCCTTTTTGGATCACTTACAAAAAGAAAAAAATGGAAAGTCTAATAACGCGAAAAAACACGTTATTTCTCGAAAAAAAGGCACGTTCTAACGCAAACAAACGCGTAATAATACGACAAACACTTATCTTCGCAAAAAAACACGTTTTAACGCGAAATAAATACGTGATAGGGTAAAATAAATACGATATAACGTGGAAAATCACTTTATAACGTGAAATGGACACAAGAAAGGAATGGTCTATCCAAGATGGCGGCAGTTATAGACAACAGGAGAAGGAGTATATATCGAGACGGAAAATCTGTTGTTTTTAAACATGATCTGACAACAGCAGGCTTAAATGTACAACAAAAATCAACTACAAAACAAAATGTTTTGATCACAGGCTTCTATTTATCCAATCTTTTTAGTTTTTAATTACTATTAAGATAATGGACCAGATTTCAACTTTGTTTCACAAATCGAGGCTGTCAAACTACACTTGTCATTGATTTGCAAAAACCTTTAGAAACAATTTGATGGTTGGTGAAGGACGTAATATGCCGTTTGTCCATTTATACCTACCGCTGTCAGACCATGTTTGGAAACAATAGATTTTCAGGTTTGAAATGGACATCTTCCTTCTATTGTCTGTAATGGCCGTAATCTTGGAGAGACCATTCCTTGACGATTACACGGCAGTAGTAAGTGGTATATATGTAGTTCCCTTGAGTAGTGATACAGTCCTTTAATCTGTGGGTGTCTGTATTACTTTAGTGGTATATATATGTAGTTCCTTGTAGTAGTGATACAGTCCTGTAATATGTGGTTGTCTGTATTACTTTAAGTGAGTAGTATATATATGTAGTTCCCTGTAGTAATGATACAGTCTTGTAATCTATGGTTGTCTGTATTACTTGTAGTAAGTGGTATATATGTAGTTCCTTGTATTAGTGATACAGTCCTGTAATCTATGGTTGTCTGTATTACTTTTAGTGAGTAGTATATATATGTAGTTCCCTGTAGTAGTGATACAGTCCTGTAATCTATGGTTGTCTGTATTACTTGTAGTAAATGGTATAGTTCCCTGTAGTAGTGACTTAGTCCTGTAATCTGTGGTTGTCTGTATTACTTTTAGTAAATAGTATAGTTCTCTGTAGTAGTGATTTAGTCCTGTAATCTGTGGTTGTCGGCATTACTTGTAGTAAATGGTATAGTTCCCTGAAGTTTCTGGTGTTATTACTCTTTTCATGATTTGCTTCTCGCTTCAGATTGCAGTTCAAAGACATGTACGACCAAGTGCGATGCGTGCACTCCAACGACTGCCGCCACCACAGGTAGGTAACGTAGTATACGGTTGTAATTAACAGGTACACGTTTAACGGGTTCACGGGGTCACAGAGCGTATTTGATATATACACGACCATTCGATTGTAACAAGTACATCAACATTTTACTGGGGCTAAAGTCTTCGTGAAATATATACAAACACCTAATGCACAATGATAACCCGGCTTATCAATGAGCAACTTTCCCTACGGCCAGACAGGTCTCGACATAGGATATCTGTATCATAGTTTCAGATGAAGATTTACAAAATAACATTACTCCGAGGCACATGTATTAACTGGACAGCTTAGTTTGTCAGTAAAATATTCTGGACATCATTGACCCGGCAGACCGTTTACTCTGAATACATGTACATATTTACCCGACAATCCACCTATAACCTTAACACTTATTAACCAGACAAACCCGCTAGTCTGAACACGTATTGACCCGACAGGCCACCTATAACCTTAACACTTATTAACCTGGCAGACCCGCTAGTGTGAACTTGACAGACCTGTTAGTCTGAACACGTATTAACCCAACAAACCCGCTTGTCTGAACACTTGTTGACCCGACAGATCCGCTGATCTTGACATTTATTAATCCAAAAGCCTGAGATCGGCACTAAAGCCTCAATCACACATTCAGGATTTTTACTGTCGTCCTTGATAGGACCATTCCTGATTAAAACATTTCAAAAGTCGGATCAAGATCCTGTGATTCGTGGCTGGATTTTCACAAATTTGTAAAAACATCTATTTAATCATGACAACAATCAGATATTGTTCAGGAAGCGTCCCGATTCAGCCGTTTCCAGCCGAATTCGACCCGATTATCCCGTTCTCAATCCGATTCTGATCCGATTTGTATGTTTCGCATGGTAAAAAACGACCGAATCTGTCCCGACAGCGTCCCGATTCTCCCGAGTGCGATCCGACAGAGATCAGACAGTGATCGGACAGTGAACCGACGCTGACGGAACACATCCGTTAGAAAACCGTTTCACGCGAGAGTCCCGTCCAATAAAAGAATCGTACGACTGCGGATTCTCACTCTAGCCTCAGCAGTTCTACAAGGAGCATCGCCGTCAGTTATTGGCAGATTGTCTTCATTTAAATTATATAATTTCATCTTTATAAGTATTAAGCTACTTCAATATGCCTGCTAAGAAGAAGCCCGTGCCTGCCATGAAGAAAACTGCAGGACAACCAAGGAAAAGAAAGCCTATTTCTATTTATCCTATGCATTCATCTGCTGAAGGGTCTGGTGGTGATGGTGAGCCAGTTGAAGAAGTCCAGCAAGTCCACAGTGGTGAAATTCATTTGCGATTTCCTTCCACTCCACTGGGGTAGTGGGGCAAGCGATTACCTCTACAGCGTACTCATCAATGATGGCTTGGCAGACTTCAGGGACAAACATTGACATGGTGTTACTGGGAACCCTGAAGTCCCACTTTATGCTGCTGTAACTATCGCCGGATGCCAGATGCCTCATGGTACAGGCAAACTTAAGTCCAGGATCAAGGGCTTGCCTCCACCAGGTGTCTTGTTTGGTGATGCAGAGTGTGATCCGAGCCAGGACTTCATCGTATAGTTCCATAGTCAGCTTCATGTAGGTGATGAAAGCTTATGGATCTTCTTCTCTCAGCTCCCTCATCAATGTGTCATACTGGCCGAGCTGCTCCCTTCTGGATGTCCAGGGCTTGGCCCAGTATCTTCTATTTCTACCGGGTCGCAGTGCCCTTCTGTTCAAATAATAATTGGCAAACAGAAGATCTTCTTCTTCTTCTTCCATTTCCACGAGAGCAACCTGTTGCAGAAGTCTCAGCCTACGAGCACCATTCATGGTGGACCAGTCAAAGTACTGTCAATGAATGACACACACACACAAACACACACACACACACACACGTTATACTCCATACGTGAGCAGGTCAGCCGAATCTGGAAATCCACGCTTCTGGAATCCTACAACTGTCGCCATATTCGGGATGCTCGGGACACTGTCGGAACGCAATCCTACCATAGTCTGCTGTACCGCATTGCAAACGGCTTTGTCTGGACTCAGTCGTATCGTGTTCTGTAATTGTCGGGACTCTGACGTTGGTAGTATTGCCGAATTTCGTATTCATTACGGAACTGTTGCGGAACGGATTCGGCAAAGACGGTTCGCAATCGGCAAGATCGGGACGCAATCTGGACTCAATCGGCAAGAAACGACAATGAAAAATTTCTCCAGATCATGCCCGTTCCACAGGACACCGTCAGGACACCGTCCAGACAACACAGGAAATAGTTACGATTTTGATCCGATACAGCAGAATCTGTCACAACATAGTCACGATTGTAATCCGACTGAACAAAATCGGCTTAGTTTCCCGAATGTTACGGGACGCACCTAACTGTCCGACCTCTTCGGACCATTCCCGATCTGTAGGACTCTGTTACGAACATATACGACTGCGTTCAGACAATGATAGGACATTCCAGATCATTAAGGATAGTAATCCGACTTTTTCGCTTTTCGTGTCGTAGCGCTGTCTGATCTCAAACTAAAATTGCTGAATCTGGTTAGTTTGTATTTATTTTCTACATAAAACAAGGTCCATTCACATGTGTAGTTTAGTCATTATTGTATAATTTTGTACGAGCGTAAAAGTAGGGCACGTTATTCTTGATATGTTGTTATTTGTCACGTAACTCAGATACTGTGCATTTTAGCATGTCTAAAAGTCTTGGATAGTTCACCGGTCAAATTGCGTTCGTTTATCGCGGAATATTTCTGCGTCACCTCAACCTTATAAACCTGGATACGCGAAAGCAGCCTTAGAATCAATTATATTTTTAAATTTTGTTGAAAAGGATTACAACTGATCGTTCAATGTTTACCATATCAATTCCTTTTGTTATTTAAGTTCTTTTCTTTCTATAAGCTTCAACTGCGTCCGCCTCCGCGAACAGCGATGTGGGAATCATTGCTGTTATCATCATCCTGGTCATCCTCATCATTGTTGCAGTCATCATATCCTACTGTCTCTGGTAAGTGTGTTATAAAGAGGTTTGAGGGGAATATAAAGACAGCCGGCTTATGTCCATATATAAGATCATGCACTTACATATACCTTTTGTTTATATAATGTATTGATATACAGAGAATGGTTTAAAGTAATTCCTGTTCGATTTGGCATCTACCCAATCAGTTGACCAGGCCGCTACTCTGGCTAATAAGATTACAGAAGAAGTACAAATCTATCGCCTTTTGAAGGCAATGCTACATCAGAGACAATCCGCTAAGCGATAATACGTTTAAGTTATCTGTCCATACATATCTTTTAAACTTGACTACAGGAGGCGCTCACAGGCCGGTGTGTATGACCTTGACGAGAAGAAGGGAGACGAGCTACCCCTAAACGCAGCTCACGTGGAGAGCGGGCAGTCTGACGACCTGGGTACCCCGATGGTTGCCATGGCAACGGGTTTGTTAATATATAACTTTTATTCAGTCTTTTAGTTTTTCTTTTTCTTAGAAGGTACATTAATCGGTCCAAAAATAAACTGATAATAGTTTTTATTGTTACATTACATTATACTGTTGTACTTCATTGAGATACATCTGATAAATCGTGATTTTTTTTTTTTTTATTAAGATGGGTGCTTATAGGCCTATCATCTTAAGTGTTTTAAGGCGTGTACACGAGCTACTGAATTAGCCAGATCCTCTCTTTGTAGTAGTATGCCGAATACAAATATTTTCAATGAGAATACTTTAAGAATTCTCAAGTTGAGGACGACTAAATTGAATTCTAGAATGATTCAAATTTATATTTTATATTTAGCTGATAGTTGATAAATGTTTCATTTTTAAGACGGGCACAGTAGTTATTGAGTGAATGACAGTGTTGGACGGTTAATATCGTAGTATATCTTACAGTGTGTCTGTTTAATACATTTACATGGCAGTAACACCTAATATAGAACCTTCTTAGAAATTCAAGTGTTCCATGGGCGGAAACTGAAAAACTAAAAATCTACATTTTTGCAATCATAGAAAATATAAGCATTTTACAGTTGCGTATTTTTCGGAGTGTATGCGAATAATTGTCTTCGAATGCCAATTAAAAACAGCGCGATGCTTTTAAATGTTATTTGAATGTACACATGTAAGTAGACTAGGTCCTAAATAATTTAACCTAATTCATTCCCAGCAAAAGGATTGGTTGTTAGCTTGTCGGCATAAGTGGTGGCTGGTCTGGTGAACGATGTTTTCTGTATACATTCTTTCGAGCGGTCTGTGTTCGTTATTTGAAGGTTCTGTGTACGTTATTTGAAGGTTCTGTGTACGTTATTTGAAGGTTCTGTGTATGTTATTTGAAGCTTCTGTGTACGTTATTTGGTGGTTATGTGTACGTTATTTGGTGGTTATGTGTACGTTATTTGAAGCTTATGTGTACGTTATTTGAAGCTTATGTGTACGTTATTTAAAGGTTATGTGTACCTTATTTGAAGGTTCTGTGTACGTTATTTGGTGGTTATGTGTACTTATTTGAAGGTTCTGTGTATGTTATTTGGTGGTTCTGTGTACGTTATTTGAAGGTTCTGTGTACGTTATTTGGTGGTTATGTGTACGTTATTTAAAGGTTATGTGTACCTTATTTGAAAGTTCTGTGTACCCTATATGAAGGTTATGTGTTTCAGGTAACGGATCCCATGAAGTAGAGGTCGTGTCAGAAACCACAATCCGAACAACTGACAAAAACGGCGAAACAAAACCCTTAATAGAGAATGAGATAAACACCGAGCAAGAGAGCGAACGGAAGGAACCAGACGGGAGAGAAAATTCAGCCGAGCCGGATGACACAGAGGAACCCATGAGGGAGTCGCGAGAGATGAAGACTGCAAGCAAGTACATGCCACCGACAGAGCAGGAGGGTGGCCCCGGAGGCGTGTACGTGGGACCTACTAGCCCCGCCGTTGACGATGTTCAAACCGAACAAGAATCGCAGGACACACAACAAGAGTCACAGGACACACAAGAAGACTTGGAGGACACAAGCTTCTCCGTAACCCCAGCCGAGTTAGTGGCCCCTCCATCTATACAACAGGACACTGGGACCGATCTTCAAACCCCTCCCTCCCCTTCGCCCGACCCAGACACTCCGCCATCACCGCCACCCGATATGACCGCCTCATAAGGCAGGTAGTGTAGCGATTCGCTGATACTTGAAACGGAAGAGACATGAAAAATATTTACGTGACGCCAATATTCCTTACTGACATTTTTATATCAGATTTGGGCAGAAGATTAATACAAGGATCACAATAAACTTGTGAAAAGTTCGTTATAAATCATATATATAAAAAAAGATGAATCGGAGCATGTTCCACTGATCGGAAAACGCACTTCGGATGACATTTTATCTCACTGGAAAACAAAGTTCGAAATGGTGTACCGGAGTCAAAATGACTGAGGTTTGATACTGAGGTTTGGATTACTGAGGTTATATCACCAGAGTTCGGATTACTGAGGTTATGTTATCGGAGTCCGGATTACTGAGGTAACGTTATCGGAGTTCGGCTACCTGGGGTTATGTTATCGGAGTCAAGATAAGCAAGCTTCTGTTCAATGAGTAACGAAGTTCGGATTACTGAAGTTATGTTATCGGAGTTGCATTAATAAGGTAACGTTATCGGATTCTGCATTACCAAGCTTCTGTTAACTGAGAAATAAAGTTCGGATTACTGAAGTTATGATAATTATAATGATATCCGGATTATGAACTGTATTTTATAGGATTAAACAGGTTTTAACCTCGGTAAAGGAGTCTGGATTAACGAGGTTTTGTTACCCGAATCTGGATAGCTGAGGTTATGTTACATGAGTATCGGAGTCTGGATTACCAAGGTTTTGTTACCCGAATCCGGATAACTGAGGTTATGTTACATTAGTATCAGAGTCTGGATTACTTTTAGAGTTATGTTGTGGGATTCCGAATCACCTATGTCATCAGAGTAATGGAATACTGGAGTTCTGTTACCGGAGTACCAGAATTCAGGTTACTGAGGCAATTTTCGGAATCCAGATAAGTATGGTTATTTATCTGGAGTATCTGAGATTGGATGACGTAGCTCCACGACTACAACTATCTGGTATTATCACCGTAGTCATCCGGGCACTGACAGCATAACCACAGTATTTGGTATTCCAATACTCTGACCATGGAACCCAAATATCCGGATTCCGTTACTGCGATACAAAACCGCAATCATTTAGACTCCAATACGTCTTTAAGATACAAATGTAACATAAGTTATCCAGATTCCCGCAACATAACATACACCAGATATGTAACTGAGGTTATGTTAACAGAATAGGGAGTCCGGATTACTGAGGTTATAATAACAGAATAGGGAGTCCGGATTACTGAGGTTACATTAACAGAGTAGGGAATCCGTATTACTGAGGTTGTTAACAGAGTAGGAAGTCCGGATTACAGAGGTTGTTTACAGAACAGGGAGTCCGGATTGCTAGGGTTTATGTATCAGAGTATGGAGTCCGGCTTACTGAGGTTATGTTATCAGAGTGGGGAGTCCGGATTACTGAGGTTATGTTATCGGAGTCACTGTGACGGAGATTGCCAGAATATCTTAATCCGGATTACTGAGGGTATATGACATTGTTAACTTTAATCTTCGTGATAATCATACAGTTCGACAGGTTTTATTAGAACGTCGTTATTGGTTAAACGGTCGTCTGTGGTTTGCTTTTACTAGCAAGTCTGACGGCCTTGACCTTGGTCTGATCCACGGGCGATGTCGGCCTCGAGCCACAAGATCCCTACGTACATAGAAATCAACATACAATGCAGATTAATACTGTTATAAAACAATTGTATCCCATGAACCTAATAGTGAGTGATCAAGCGTTCTCAGGCCGCTATGCGTTGCGATTTTTTAAAGTGCTCGCTGCGTCAGTAATGGTTCAGAGATCTATATATTCTTTAGATATTTATAAAGTGTATATAATCTAAAAGTTAATATTTGCGTTTGAATATTTTGGCGCTAATTTACTCAACGCGAAAATCGCGAACATTTCCACACCGCGAAAATGTCCACTTTAACAGTATATTTTTTTTAGATACATTGTTTGTTAATATAATAACATGTCAGTATTTTACTTTATATATATTATATTATTTATGCCTGGTAATACTCACTATACATCTATAGTACATATACAGCCTAGGTATTCTATCTAACATATCTTTGTATATTGCTATGTCGGATATTCCTTGAAACATCGGGCAGCTATCTCGATTTTCTTTTATCTGTGTTGATAGAACATATTAAATATGTTGTTTCTATTCAAGTTTCTTCAATGTCCCCTTCACTTTCTAATCGTTGTTTTTACTTTGCTTTATTTTGTAAACAACCCATTGTTTAAGGTTTTGTGGTTTTCCCTCGGTCTTTTTGATTGTGTGGTGGTTCATTCTGACGCTGCAATTTATGTGTTGTACGTCAGTAAAATTTTCTGTCTCGCTACCAAAGTGGGAAATGATTTGAACCAGAACCTTGTTTCACTTCAGGCAGAAGATGTTAGCATGTTCTGTATAAAACATTTAGCACCTCTATTTTCCGCCTTCAATTTTCTTTTCAAACCCGTTAACGATGTTCTCAACTTTAGATGTGTTAACCGGAACATGTAGTGTGCGATGTGACGTAGTCATATGACGTATCACCATAGTGTGATGGGAGAGCGATACAGATATAGAATGTCGGAGTCCGATCGAGACTTACCAAGGTCCCCGAATTTTACGTACATCTGATTGCATATTTCTACATATATGTCCCCAACACATGGCTAACTGTCTACTCTAGCAATGGGAGGACACATAGTCCGTACTGTATCATTATACAATGTTAATACCATCTGTATCATTTCTCCAATCACATCACATATCTTATCAGATATACCTGTGATATTATGCAATTATAGCCTTTGGCTGAGGTCGATACCTGGATCTATGCTATAAGGAAGCGGGACGATAAGTTCGTTTGGAGACACGTCATTATTCTATTTTTAGAAACACCCAGTTCTTTAACAAAAATCACGCGCTCGAAGTCAATATCGGTTTTTATCGGTGGACACGTGATTCACTTCTGGCCAATCACTTGTCGGGAATAATAGGAAAAATTAATAAACCTATAAATAGTTCCATCAAATATGCAAATTATTTTCGAACAAAAATGTATATATTCTTTTAATTTTATACAGAAGAAAAGAACGTTGAAGATAAATGTATACAATTTTCATTGTAGGCAAGATGCCATTTCCATTGTTTGCGTGTTTTCGTATAATTTGTATAGACCAGCTAGGGCCCATATACATGAAACAGCTATCATGCTCAAACCCATCCTTGGATGGCTCAAACCCAGAATCTGTGCTACAGCCCAATTTCTGGTGCCAGTGATAAATTTATATAAAAATAATATTTTTTCAATGATATGTAAGAAATTTTGAAAGACTTTAGGCCGATTACTTTTTTCAGTGTTTACACTTGACTTTTTGACCATGTTACATGATTTAAGCTTGAGTATGAAAACGGTTTCATGAATACGAGCCCTGACGTCATTTCCATTGAAGTCAATTCATGTCAACATTATAGACTTGAGGTCATTTCTGTTGTAGACGTGGAGTCATTTCCATTGTACACTAAGTCTACTTGATGTCACTTCATGTCAACATTATAGACTTGAGGTCAGTTCTGTTGTAGACGTGACGTTATTTCCATTGTACACTAAGTCTCCTTGAAGTCACTTCATGTCAACATTATAGACTTGGGGTCATTTCTGTTGTAGACGTGGAGTCATTTCCATTGTACACTAAGTCTGCTTGAAGTCACTTCATGTCAACATTATAGACTTGCGGTCATTTCTGTTGTAGACGTGGAGTCATTTCCATTGTACACTAAGTCTACTTTAAGTCACTTCATGTCAACATTATAGACTTGAGGTCATTTCTGTTGTAGACCTGGCGTCATTTCTATTGTAGACATGATGTAATTTTATTATAGACGTGACAACAGTTTTGATGTTGACATGTTCATATTGTCAAGGATTACCTACACAATTTTGTGAGTAATGCAGTCAAACATTTACGTCTTAAACTGTATGATCCCTGTCCCACTACAGGCAAAAAACTAGAGATAAGTTATATTTTACGTAACCTCCTCTTCATTTCGTTATGGATTATAACTTGTCGTCGGGCTTGATCATGGAAGTACCACAGCTCACGTAGCACAATTGGTATGAGCATCCGCATAGTGGTCGGAGGTCCGGGGTTCAAATTCCGGTCTGGTCCCATAACATTTTTACTCTCAGAACACGAATGACGATTTTTTTTTACTTTTTTAAATTTTATTTTTTTTGCTGCATTTGTCTATTTTTTCACAAAAGTTCCGCAAGGAATGCCTTTCTTTTTAGAAATGATTTATCAAAGCTGATAATTGGCATGCAGATAAAAAAAAAAAAAAGGTTTCCAAATCATAGTTATAGGTTTCCGCAGTGGTACGGGGATTCTTTGGGTAAATACTACAGAATACATCATCAACCATGTTCATCTATGCAAGATTTACCGAGTGAGCGTATGTACACAGCTTTACATCCTTTATCTAAATGTCTATAAACTTAAGTAAGTGTTACCCGTTATGTAGTGGTTGTATTCTTTAAATTTATTCTCTTTAATATATGGCGGTTTTTTTATTATTTCGAAAGGCTTAAAATACGGATTCATTGTTGTTATCTAACTGATGCTAAACATCCTCGAAATTCCAGTATTTACGCTCTCTTACGTTCTCTGCAGTCCTGGACTATGTCATGATGAAATCAAAGACTCTGTATACGTTACTGGTCAGTTGTACAACATCTAAGGAAGTGTGCGGCGGCGTAATGGTAAAATTCTCGGACTTGGAAGTTGGGTGTTGCTCTTTACTCTAGCTATCTGTCAGGGTGTTCCCCTCTTTCATTACCTAAAACCGATGCAATTGCGTACCTCGTACCATTGCTATTCTCATGACACATTCCAGAGTACATGAACACAAGTGACCGTAACCCCTGGGGTTTTGAGGATGACGATGTACGACGTCGCCGAGCTGACATTAATATTTCAGCTGTAATGCCTTTTGAATCGACGAATTGACAGACTAAAAAAGAAATATTTATCTAATTTGAGTATCTTTGTTTGAAGGAGTTAGCTGTATATTAAACATTCCAGCGTACGGGTTCCATGGACTTTGTTCATATTTACAACATTCTACGAAGTCATCGAGGAGTAGGTCCTTAAAAAATAGCGAACTATATACAAGATATTACGCTTTTTCTCTTTTGGAGAAACTGTTCGCTGTTTAAAACATTATTTTTGTAATGCCTGCATTCTTCTATTGTGCTATATATATAATTATATACACGGGACAATTTTCATTCTGGGGTCATTCAAATTACAAACTGGCATCCGGATCACATCACAGCTGCTTGAGGTGTATGCGGTTTGTTTGTGTCCGTCTGTAGACTCCAGAGCAGTACGGTGTGACTCTAGACCGAAAATCTGTTGTGCATTCGGAACTCATCTTATATCATCCATATATCTTCATGTTAACGTCACCGTTTCAGTTCATTGTATAAAGCCAATGTCTATCAATATAACTTTGTTTGTTTTGTTGTTTGTTAAAAAGGCCAAGGTCATTGAATAAGTTATCAGACAACTTTGGAGGCGAATTTTTTATTAAGTTGAAATCTGCAGAGTAGTTTGGTAGGGAAATCCCCAGGAATATTAACATCTTTATATAAAAATACCTTCGATCTACACTGCTGCCGCAGTTTAATTGGAATATTGGCCCCATTTGACTCGCAGGCAGACTCTATATTTGTATGACTACTTTTGATCATACAAATGAAGTATGCTAAAAACGCTACCACCAAAATTTCGTTAGAATATGTTCAATTAAGTTTCCCGTAAAAATTTCGCGGCAATTTGTCCGTTCGTCCGTCCGAAATGCTCATTGGGACCATTTGCAAAGGTGTGTGTTGCGTACCACAAGTTGGTGTGTGCTCCCAGGATCCAGGTCACATTGAGGTCATAGGTCAAAGTCATCGTCCGGGTCATAAATGCTGACTCTCTGAAGAAAATTAAAGGGATATATGTAGAACGGCAGTGTAGTGTGTTGCGTACCACTTTTGGGTCCCTACAGTTAAGGTCACATTGAGATCGAACGTCAAATTCATTGTTTGGGCCATAACTTCTGACTCTCTGCATATCTAGATTGCATTTAAGGGTGGTTGGGTGGTGCAGTGGATAGCGCACTAGCATTTTACCAACACGGACGTGGTTCGATTCCTCTATCGGATGTGACAAAGAACTGGGATTGTTGATACTCAGGATCCCTCCCATATTAAGACCTCTTACGCGCTAACATCGGGACCAACAAGAGTGATTAATGACAATTTTCACAATTGTTGTAAAATAATGGCCATAGAAATTAAATCGATCTACGTGGGATCAGTGGTCCGTACGCCGAAAGTCAAGGTCACAATTAGGTAAAAGGTCAAATACATCGTCCGTTGCATAACTTTCGACTCACTATATATATGTAAATGAAATTGTAGGGAAAATATGTAGATGGCAGGGCAGTGTTTCGCATACATACTACTATTGGGTTTGCAAGCCTTAGGTTAAGGTCACACTGAATTCCAGACTTCGTGACCTTTTCCAAGGGCATTATTTTATTTTTTATTGCATTATGTTTAGGATGCTACGACCAAAATATGTTTGAAACCTGTCTGGTTGTTTTGGGATGAAGTGTCGTTTAAATAAAGGCTACACTTTTGACCCCGACCCTCATCCATCAGGAAGGTCAGGTCCTTTTTTCTTAATAACATCGATCCCCATTGGCAATTTAGTTTAAAATCGACCGGTATATTTAGAAGAGATGCCGTTTAAAGCGTATCAACCAAAATGGTGGGATTCCAAATTGGTCTCAACTACTGTTGAAACGGAAGAGGGTGCGTAAAACTCATTAATTTTTATTGTTTATAAATAGAGGAGAACTAATTGATTTTAATTTTAATAATAGGTGAAGACAGTGCCTCTACTCAAATGAGATAAATGTAGCTATCAGGCAAACAAAGCCGACTGCACCTTTAAGCTAGGGAATCTTGTCGCCCACCAGGTGTTTGAAGTACGCTTGATTTTTTTCACTTATCTGTGCGATTGGTAGTCTTGACAATATCTTTATTATTATTATAGTTAGAATTCCATACAGTTGATTTGGAGAGTGTTATTTCAAAGTTAGATCATTATTTACTTTTTAAGAATAGCGATAACAAACTTGAACTGACAAAATCCAAGATGGCTGACCGACGGTCTTTTTTCGTTTTTTTACTTTTGATCAGTCTAACAATAAAACATGTACAACCATGGACCAAGGGGAAACCATACATGAAATTTGAAAAAAGATCTTGTCAAGTCAGAAATTTCAACAACAAACTTGAACTTCCAAAATATGGGCGGCCATCTTGTTTTTCCGATCCATTTCAAAATTAAACATGCACACATATAGGTCAAGGGAGGAGAATCGCCATTGGAAAATTGAAAAAAAGGATCCATCAAGTGTTTTCATAAGAAATACAGACAACAAGAATAAGAAGAACGACGGCCCTTTTTTACATCCACCATGTGATGATAGTTGGCTATAACGTAGTTGTCAGTATCTCCATATACACTTAGCTAGAAATATGTTTAAGGAACGGATGCCCCACTCCCACTCTTTATGAACTAAAGCAAGGTCACAGAGGCTAAGGTCAAAGGTCAAGTTCACAAATATGTCCGCCAAGTGTCATTACTGACCTAGACACAAATCCTTTACCGACCAGACATATGTACGGACAAGGGTTCCACTATATGCCCCGCACCACTTTGTAGCAGGACTAAACTAGAGGCAACACTACAATTGGCCCAGAATCAGTGATATCAATAACCAGAGGGAAGATCGGTTGCTTTTAAAAGCCTTTCCTACTAATTTAAATTCACCACCATGCTTGTAATCCTGAGAAAGCTATGGTAATTAACTCATTGACCCCTGCAATTTCATTATGAACTATTCCAACCTTTGAATTAGAGGAGTTCAAATGTGTCTTCAGGTGTAAATGAGTTAAAAACAATCCAAGGATAGCTTGCATACTTCACATATTGATGCCGATCTTGTCAGCAACCGCATTCATATTTCACAAAACAAGAGGCCCGCTGTATCGCTCACCTGTTTCTTTTGTTACATGAAACTGCCATATACTGTAGGTAACTTCAGACCAAATTTGGTAACTAGAACACAAGACATTTTAACATCTCTTAAACGTTTCTTAAGATATTTTTGTTTGAAATTTGAAATCGTAATTTTAAAGCTTTTAACCCACGTAGATCTTTGACTCCGGCTAGGACTTGAAGTTGACAGTGGACCTCATTACAGTAATAAAGAAAACGATTCACATCTGGTCAACATAACACACCCAAGTAGCATGACTCTATACCAAATGCTTCTTAGGATATCGTTGTTTAATCATATTTGACCCCTGTGACCTTGAAAGTCAAGGTCATTTTAAAGAGGAATTTTATAGCACTCAATCTCAGGTACCTACTGGCCAAATATCGTGACCCTGGGCCTTATGGAACTTTAGAAGATTGTTAAAGCTTTTAACCCATGTTTACATTTGACCCCCGACTAGCACTTAAAGTTTACCTTAAACCCCCAGAGGGCCTGTATCGCTCACCTGAATATTTAAGCAGTCATAGCAAAATCTTCTCATTAAATATCATATTGCACTACAAATATTTCCCTTGCAAACTTTTTCGGCTCCATCTTTTGAGACTACCAGCCAAATAATATTTTTATAATATTCTATGCTTTTCGGTTTATCTTCAGCTGTTTGACATATTTTCCCCTGTGACCTTGTAAGTAGGTCAATGTCATTTTCCTTCTCAAACTTTATTAGCTCTATCCCAAAAAGCTACACGCCAAATCTTATGAATCCATTCCTTTTGGTTCTTCAGAACAAATTGTTTCAAATGTTCTTGACCTCTGTGACATTTAAAGTAGGTTGAGGTCATTTTCATTTGCAATCTTTGGTGAGCTCTATCCCAGGAAGCCACCAGCCAAATATTATAATTGTATGCCTTTCGATTATTCAGAAGAAGTCGCTTGATGTTTTTGACATATTTGACACATGTGACCTTGAAACTAGGTCAAGGTTATTTTAGTGTTGGAATCCTGTAAAATTTGCACCAACTTCGACATTTTTGTACCATGACTGAGGATCAGTCAAAAAATCCTACTGATCAGGAATTCAAAGCAAATCCTGAAAACCAAAGTTCCTTACCAAACACTCTACTGGTGACACAGTATCAAGTTTGTCCCATGTCATTAACATCTGTCATCGTGATGAGATTAAGTAGAAAAATCAATCCTTTCAACACGGCAGCCATTGGATGACCCAGTGACCTAATTTAATAGGAGGTCCAACTACAAGTCGTATTAACTAATATGCTGTAGGTCATTGTCGCTAGGGAATGTCATTCAGAATCAAAACTGTGATAAGTTGTTTTCGAAGATGACTGCCATGTTGCCATCTACAAGTCAAGTTACTACAAGTAATATGTCTCTAGGACCTGTCATTCACGAGGAATAGCAAGAACATTTTTCACAATGGCTGGCCATGGACGACTCGGTGACCTCATTTTCACCTAAGAACTACATAGTACATACTAATGTGATTTAGTTCCCTTATCTCTAGAACATTCAAAAGGAATAGCAATTAAAACCTTTTAAAGATGGCTGCCATGGCGGCCATATTGGATAACCCTGTGACATAATTTTCACCTAGAAAAAATCTGTAAGTCGTGTTGACTAGTATACAAATGTAAAACCTGTAGGTCACTTGCTTCTAAGACCTCTCAATTCAAGAGGACGAGCAATAGCAAGCTTTTCAAGATGGCTGCCATTGTGGCCATATTTAATGACCCTGTGTCCTCATTTTCACTCAGTAAAAACTACAAGTCGATTTGACTAGCATAAAACATGTATTGCACATGTCTCTAGGACCTGTCTGTCATTCAGGAGTAGTAGCAATAGCAAGTTTTTCAAATTGCATATGGCTGCCATATTTGATGACCATATGACATCATTTACAGACTTACAAATTAACAGGAATCACTTTTCCTCCAACAGAACACCTGAACATTTCCGGACTGTTTTATGTTGGATTTCACACTAATTCAGCAGTTTCCTTCTACCATAATTTCAAAATGATTATAATTCAACTAATCAACTTTGATTTCTCTTGTAGTGATAAGTTCTACATGAGTTTCATTTCTAGATGAGTGTTGGAATCCTGTAAAATTTGCACCAACTTCGACATTTTTATACCATGAACGGATTGTGTCATTGATGCAAAATTTGGCTTGAAAGTTTTTAAGCTCTGGATGTTCTTCAATACTCGTTACATCTTCTCTCATAAAAATTGTGAAATTCAAATGTAGCCAAACCAAAACAACTGCTTTGGCAAAAGACTGCTTTTGAACAAAGTCAACTGCAAATATTTTCTTAAGAAGCACATCATTTTCACAGTCATAAGCATAAAATATTAATTTTGTTGGAGTACATCCAAACGCCGGGATAGGTAGCCCTGCAAGGTGCTCGTTCTGATTAACCTGAGCAAAAGCATTGGTAATTGTTTGGGCAATTAGTTGACTTTGAAATGCATCTTTGTCTTTTTTCATTTCACCAGATTGTGTGTTATTTTCCAAATCATGCTGTTGTTCTTCTGAACCCAGTATCCAGCTGTCGGGGTCTGACTCTTCCTGTCCTAACCAAACTGTCACTGGCACAGTCCCCTGAACAAACATGTCAGCATACCCATGCCAGGTGAATTCAATTCCTGTTTAAACAAAAGATACAAGAGGTCATGATTGTGACAGTCTAATAGAAATCATGTTACATGGCTTCTTTAAGTTCATTAACAAAGCCAATAAACAGATATATGCCATTTTAATAAGACTGCTTTTTTATAAAGCATGCTTTTCACTCGGAGAGATGAACAAAATCCTATCTGCAATAGGAATTTTACCCATTGACAAAAGAGAATTTTATCCATTGACAAAACAGAATTATACCCATTGACAAAACACAATTTACCCATTAACAAAACAGAATTTTACCCATTGACAAAACAAAATTTTACCCATTGACAAAACAGAACTCATTGACAAAACAGAATTATACCCATTAACAAAACAGAATTTTACCCATTGACAAAATAAAATTTTACCCATTGACAAAACAGAATTATACCCATTGACAAAACAGAATTTTACCCATTGACAAAACAGAATTTTACCAATTGACAAAACAGAATTATACCCATCGACAAAACAGAATTTTACCCATTGACAAAACAGAATTTTACCAATTGACAAAACATAATTATACCCATTGACAAAACAAAATTTTACTCATTGACAAAACAGAATTATACCCATTGACAAAACATAATTTTACCCATTGACTTAACCCATTGACAAAACAGAATTTTACCCATTGACAAATATTTATGTTTGCATAGCACATCAGTTGATACGATTTTCATTCATGAGAAATTCAAGAAAGATAAAATGTAAAATTCTCAATATATACAACTGTATGTTATGTTGGATACCACTGACCCTTCCCGGGCAATGGCTGTTCTTTCGTTTAACAAGCATACACAATACATACGTGTACATTATTTGAACTACATGCTGAAGAAGAAAAAGTGCAACGGAATTTTTTATGAGATGAACAGATTCAAAAAATGGTTAATGTAAGTATTGAACTGCTTTCAGTTGGCATTTATAGGGAATATGAATTCCATCTGGACAAAGGCAAAACCAACATGAAGCGCACTTGAATTAGCTTTTGTCCAGTTGGCATTCATATTGCCTATAAATGCCAACTGACAGCAATTCAATGCTTAAATATCCTTTTTGATCAGTTACAAACATGTACATTAATGGAAAAATGATTCCCCTTACCTACAAATTAATCAGCTGGTGTCCCTAGATTAGAAATGAGATGAGACAGGAATATAATTTGCTAATGTGGACAAATTTTGTGTTAATTTAAACCGATGATCAAATAACAAGGGTATGTCTGTATAATTGTTGATGAAATATAGACAGATTACCAAGTTCTCTGTAGGTTACCCCAAAGGACACATAATCTTGATTAGTTTCTCAGCTTAATTTGACACCTGCAAAGGATGAAAATAGTGATCAACAGTCAGATCCACAACATGAACTCACCCAGCCCTGTAGGACCTGTCCTTAGTTGTCTACCACACCCACAGCTGCATACACTCTGTGAATCAGTCTCCGTGTGATTATCAATGTAGCAGTTTCCTTCACTCAGAGGTCCAAATAAGTGAGCATCAACAACTCTCACAACATCGGACTCAGAAAAGGTTGTGGCACCACCTTACACTTTCTCAAGTCTTTTCTGGTGGAGATTCATATCTTGAATTGAACAAGGAGAAAATTCAAAATATTTTTAGTCTTCCATTTTTCTAATTTAGTCCGAATTCTGTACATATTAATGGTCACTTGTTTATTCAGAGTTTAGTTCACAAAGGACACTATACACTTACTTTTACACATGTTCAAGTAAAACACTAAGAGTACAAAATATACAATGAAATTAGGTCATGATAAGTTGAATGTGCATGTTAAGTCGCTTTATCACACAAATGATTCATTTTACTATGTTATACGGCATGTCACTTTATCACACAACTGATTCATTTTACTATGTTCTACGGCATGTCACTTTATCACCCAACTGATCCATTTTACTATGTTATACGGCATGTCACTTTTTCACACAACTGATCCATTTTACTATGTTATATGGCATGTCACTTTATCACACAACTGATCCATTTTACTATGTTATACGTCATGTCACTTTATCACACAACTGATTCATTTTACTATGTTATACGGCATGTCACTTTATCACACAACTGATCCATTTTACTATGTTATACGGCATGTCACTTTTTCACACAACTGATCTATTTTACTTCCATGTGTCATACGGCTATGTTGCTTGATCACATAAATGATCCATTTTACTACCGTGTGTCATACCTCCATGTTGCTTTATCACATAAATTATCCATTTTACTACAGTATGTCATACGGCCATGTCACTTCATCACATAAATTATCCATTTTACTACCGTGTGTCATACCTCCATGTTGCTTTATCACATAAATTATCCATTTTACTACTGTATGTCATACGGCCATGTCACTTTATCACATAAATGATCCATTTTACTACTGTGTGTCATACAGCCATGTTGCTTCATCACATAAATGATCTATTTTACTACTGTATGTCATACGGCCATGTCATTTTATCACATAACTGATCCATTTTACTAAGTCATAAATATGGTATTACATGTGTGTGAAACTTGATCGGTCAATTGTGAATTTTCCCTAGAGAAATAAAATAATAAATCCAATGAGCCAGGTCAGTTTTCCATAGACGGTCACCCATTAATATTATTATCATTTAACATAATTGTAACTGTGGTTGGTGAATAGAAAACTTCTGGGCCCGTATTCATGAAACCGTTCTCATGCTCAAGCATAGGTTCTGTGCTCAAGCCAGCTTTCTTGTAACCCACCTAAACCATGTCAACAATCAAAAAGTTTAATATTGAAAACAGTATTTGGCTTCAAATTACTTAAATTTTTGTCCAAAACTTAAACAAAACAAAGATTTTTTAAATAATGTATAACTGGAACAAGAAATTAGACTTGAGCACAAAATCCATGCTTGAGCATGAGAACGGTTTCATAAATACGGGCCCAGAAAATTTTAAATCTTTTGTTACATATATATGTTTCTATAAATAAGAAAAACATGAATTTTTTGTTATTAAAGTTTATTTAAGGAATAACCATGATTGTTTTTGAGGTTATGCGGTATGTACCTAAAACAAGAGATCCCAGAGGGATCTTGGCACCCACCTTTGTACCATCTTCATTAGTTCTTTGTCAGTTCGATCTTGATCGAGTCATGTTAACAGTAAATGCACCTTGAGGTAACTTTTGATCTAAACTTAATACTGATGTGTATAAAAGCCAACCTTCAAAGTGAGTCTGTCATTTCACATATTTACTAGTACAGTACTTAATGTGAAATTGCAATATGAGAAAAACCTGTGTAGTCCTTCTTTTAAACCATTTTGTTTTTATGATCAGTCTCAAATTATAACATACACAATAAGGGATCAAGGGGAACCTACATATAAAATTTGAAAAAGATCCCTCCCGTACTTCCGGAGAAATAGCGATTACAAACTTTCAATATCAAAATCCAAGATGGCTGCCTGTCGGCCATGTTGTTTATCCAATCAGTCTCAAAAGTTGCCCTGCACAGCTAAGGACCAAGGGGAACTTACATATAAAATTTGAGAAAGATCCCTATGATACTTCCAGAGAAATAGCGATAACAAACTTTCAATATCAAAATCCAAGATGGCTGCCTGTCGGCCATGTTGTTTATCCGATCAGTCTCAAAAGTTGCCCTGTACAGCTAAGGACCAAGGGGAACTTACATATACAATTTGAGAAAGATCCCTCTGATACTTTCAGAGAAATAGCGATAACAAACTTTCAATATCAAAATCCAAGACGGCTGCCTGTCGGCCATGTTGTTTATCCGATCAGTCTCAAAAGTTGCCCTGCACAGCAAGGGACCAAGGGGAACCTACATATAAAATTTGAGAAAGATCCCTCTGGTACTTCTTGAGAAATACCGATAACAAGAATTGTTTACGGACAGACGACGGAACACGGACGCAGGGTGATTTGAATAGCCCACCATCAGATGATGGTGGGCTAAAAACTTGAGACGTTTTGACAGATGTCTGGTCTATATTAAATTAATAAAGCTAACCTGAAATTGCCCCGACCTGCAACTTTCACCATAACTTACCATTTAAATAAGATTGCAAACATGCATAAGCTTTCTTTTCCTCGTCACTTAATAAGTTAGGTCGTTTAGTTGATGGGATATTGTCTTCATCTTCTCGTTGTTTTTCTTGAATTAACGTAGAAAGCTTTGGAATGTCCCATATATGTTGAAAGTATAACCCGCAAGCTTTCTCTCCAGAAGGGGAAAGCTTTATGAATGTACTCAGTTTTTGTTGCGTTGTCACGAAAGCGTTTGTAAAATTGCTTCCCCCAAAAGAATTGCATGACAATATTTCCAGTGTCATCATCTCCTGTACATATTTTCTATCGTTAATAGCATCTTCCAAGACTTTCCAAGCCAGAACAGTTTCATCGCTGGATTCCTTCCTGTCAGTCGCCATTGTAAGGGGGAGATACTAATGACCGGTGACCAGAACGCCTCGAAATGAATAGACCGGCTTTGCAAGTAAGCAAAGCGGCGAGTCATATCTACGTCTGATATTATTTAAAAAAGGTTTTTTTCAGTTATATTCTGCACATTTTTAAAACATTTTTTATTTTCTTATCGTCTTTAAATACCTAACGCCATAGTATCCAAATTGGCACACTTTTTAGTGAAATATCAAGGTTCCCAAAAAATAGGGCATTTCCTGAAAACCAATTCATGATAAAAATTCTAAATTGCGTTCCGACACCACTTTAAAGGCTCTGGACATTTTATTTATATATCAAAACCGTCATATTTTATTTAAATGAAATAAAAATTTGTTTATCTGTATTGAAAACCCCCATACAATTACCCATTTCCACATTACTTAGAAAAAAAATATGACATGGAAATGGGTTATTGTCTGGGGTTTTTCAATATAAATAGTCATAACATTTTCATTTATTTTAAATATCAAAATCATCAACTATGATACGATTTCCCCGATTGACCAGTGCATTTACCATTGTAACGCGTTAGATGTGAATTTTAACGCGTTAGAAGTGACTTTTAACGCATTGGAACTGAATTTTAACACGCTTAATGCGTTAGAACTGCATTTAACGCGTTAAAATTCACTTCTAACGCGTTACTTTTTATTACGCTATATCGTTTTTGGCCCGAACCGCCACCCATATCACAGTACCCAAATCGGGACACTTCGTCTTTATTATATTTTTATTATTTGCTATATGATAAAAATAGGTTTAAAGCAGTGAGTGTTGGTTATGTTGTAGGTTTTGTATATGTTCGATTATGTTATATGTGGTGCATGTCCTGAATTCGCTAGTGTTTCTGATTGGATTATTGTTTTGGGTAGGTGAGTGTCTGTATGTGTCTTTGGATGTATAGATATGTCTGTAACTAAGGTCGTGTCCTTGACGTGTTCTGGTGTCTGCGGGGATGAGATTGTTAGTGTGTATTGCTACTTGTTGATGTATTATTTTGTAGAGAAGAATAATGCGTGTTCTTATTCTGCGTGTGTGTAGGAAAGAAGGAAAAAGTCACAAGAAATTTGCATGCTGTGCAAATATTGATTTAAAGATGCTTATATACCAATAAAACATTATATGAACTTTATTTACTGCCACTTATGGTTACAATCACAGTTTTAGTTTGTAAATAATGACGAAATATAACGTTTTAAATTGATACGCCATGCGACGTTATTGATTTTCAATATTTGTATGTGATTTTTCACAAATCTATTATTTCACAACTAATTAATGGCAGTTTGGAAAAGAAATTCATTCAGAGCGACCCTTGACTCTTAAATATTCCAAAGATATTCCATGTTCTGCTGAATACTTTTTTCATCTCCAAATATAAGCCAAAACTGGAAGGGGTGTCCTGATTTCGGTACAGCTACACCTGTTTCGTGATTACGTAGCCGGAGTTTTCATTTAAGACAGTCAACGTAACGTGTCAAACCATTATCCATAGTATGTTCACCAACAACCCATCGCCCATTAAGTACTCGACATCCATCCCGGGGATAAGTGACCATGCCATGGTAATGACAGACACCGATATCATCCCACAGGTTATCCACAAGAAACCTCGAAGATTCATTCTCTTCTCCGAAGCCAACTGGACAGACATCTACATGGATGCCATCATGCAGGCTCACAAAGAAATCCTGAAACCTGGAGCATGATCATCTAAGATGTCCAGATCCAGAAAATCTGTTCCCTGGCTTAACATATAGATCTCAGAAGACTAAAGAAAACCAGAATGCATACTCATGCCAAGAAGACCGGTAGCTGCGAAAGGTATCAGACGTCCCAGCGAGAATGCAGGAAGACCTTCAAGCATGCATGACTCCAGTACATAAACACCAGCATACAGACAGGCCTTCCCGACAACAACAGCATACAGACAGGCCTTCCCGACAACAACAGCAAGTATTTCTGGCGTAACGTCAAGTCAAGAAGACAGAACAAGACTGGGGAAGCATACCTACAGAAGATGGGACATACTTTTTGTAACAGTAAGGACAAAGCACAGATCCTGGTAGACCAGTTCCAGACATTCTTTATCATCGATGACAACAACGACTTGCCTGATATCCTACGGAGGTGCAAGAACAAGATCCTGCCGTTTACCGCAAAATCTGAAGGGATTAAGAAGCTCCCAGAGAACATCAATAACAGCAAGGCCCAATGTCCCGATATGAATCCAAACACCATACTGAAGAACTGTGATCGCCAACTGTCTCCTGCATTTCAACGCATCTTCCAATGCTCGAGCGACAGTGGCGAACTACAAGCTGACTGGCTCCTTGCTAATGTAACACCTGTTTTAAGAAGGGAGACAGTCATCAGGCAGTGAATTACAGACCGGTCTCGCTCAACTGTGTATCCTGCAAGACGATTGAGCATATCATCTTCAAGCACATCATGAACCATCTTGAAAGGAACAGGATCCTAACATCATTTAGCAACACATTTAGGCTATTCTTGCGAGACCCAGCTAGTTACTCATGAGGCAGTATGACACCTGTGCCCAGATCGATATGGCCACTTTGGACTTTTCGAAGGTCTTCGACACCATCCCCCACGACAAACTACTCCATAAGATAAACATGTACGGGTGGGATAAGTCAATGAACAACTGGCTGAGAGACTTCCTGACAAATTGCAGCATGCAGGTGGCTGTCGACGGTGAAGAGTCAAAATCAGTCCACGTGGCCTCTGGGTACTCGTCCCGATACTGTCCCTGTTCGCCTCTTCGCCGACGACTGCCTACTGTACAGGTGCATCCTGAACATGAAAGACCACCTACAACTTCAAAAGGACCTGGTTGACTTTGAGAAATCGACATATTCATGGGGTATGCGTTTCAACGACAAGAAGTTCTATATTATGATCATCAACTGCAAGTCACAACACATTCTACCAGCTTGACATCCACATCCTACAGCAAGTGCAGGAATCCCCATATATCAGAGTCACCCTTTCCGACGATCCTAGATTTGATCCACACATCACCAAGATAGTAACGAAGGCTAACTCCACTCTGTGGGTTTTGCGGCAGAACCTAAAACACTGCCTAGCTACTTGTCGAAAAACAGCGTGCATCGCCATTGTTCGATAAATCATAGAGTATAGCTCTGTGGTCTGTGACCCCTTTAGACATCGACCGACTAGAGCGCGTCCAACGCCAGGCGGCCCGATTCATTACGAGACTTCACCTCCTGGGAATCAGGGTATGTCACCCAGATGCTCCAGGACCTGGGCCTGTCCCCACTTCAAGAGGGAAAGAGAAAGTGGTTGCCAGTCATGCACTGTCAGGATAATTTAATACCAATCCAAGGAAACAGATTAGAACCAAACGGTTTACAGACTGTGTCGCAAAAAAAAAACATTATCGAAAACCAGGAAACCAACAACTCTGGGTGTTTTTAAACTACGAACTGTAACACACCTATAGTTGTCTATAAAAACTCGTTCTTTCCCGGAACGACCATCGACTGGAACCAGCTTCCAGACAACGTTGTGCGTGAAGAGTCACTCGCACGACTAAGCGCCACTAGCTATAGCAAAATCTACCTATCTATGAAGTTCTGCTCAAAATTTGCAACACACTCTATCGATTACAATGTAATCAGTGGTGATAGTATAATTTGGGTCGAGTTTTGTTTAATTATTTAAATATTATTGGACGTTGATTTTTTTTCTGCTATTTTTTAATAAGCTTACTACAATTTGACTATTAGATGACAACTTCTCCGGTTCCAGATTTTTTCTGAAATTTTCACCATAATCACTCAACATAACGTACCAAATAACATACATGTCGTAATAATAATAATGATAATAATAATTGCAGGTTCATATATACCGCTTTATCACAACCTAGTTCGTAGGTCGTCTCAAAGCGGTTCACAAATTATTTACACCTAAAGATTTTTAGTATACAACTATGCACGAAGATAGTAAAAACATGTGTGGAAGATTGATTTTTTATATTGTGCAATATTTAGCTATATAGTTAAGCTCATAATTTGGAGCAGATCCTATTTTAAACAATATGATATCAATTGATAAGGAACAATGTTATTACGATAGTTATTTTGATAAAATAGTGAACCCTGCCGTACACCTACTGTTGGGCGGTACTAAGTAGGTCATAGCACAGGCCCTGGGGACCTTTTGAATTTTAAATATATACCAATGGTAGTCTCTTAGGGTGTTTAAGGCGTTACAATTAACACCCAGGTATACTGAAAGTTAACAAAAAGCTTTTTATTTGCTAAACTTATTTCTATCCTGTGTGACTACAGTTTACAGATTGAATTATGGCTACAGTACATGTAATTTTTTTTTTTTTATTACTAAATAAAAGCAAACTTTGATTATTTTCATCCCCAATAGACATGTTTTTATGCTGGTCGTTCTGTCTTCGGATTGGTTGAAAACCAGTGATAATAACGAAACGTATCATTTTTACTGGATGAGAATAACTAATTTCCTCTCATTATATGGAACTCTATATATCAAGGCTACAGAATAAATATATCTTAAAATATAAGCAACATCATTTGTTTTTGATGAAATATGTAGTAATTTTAAGACAAAAATTCAGGAAATGTGTTTTGAAAAGTGCACTTATTCTGTTTCTATTGAATTTGAATTTATGAAAAGTCTGCTTTTATTTCAAAGATCAAGGCATTTAAAAAATGTTGTTTGAAGTATTTCATCTTGTGAATCATGGTGTCCAGTGATTTATTGTTGAATTTACAGTGAGCAACATGCTGATTTGCGAGTGTATATAACAAAATTAAGTGAGGAAATTTAAAGTAAACACATTTGGACCCGAATCTGATGGTAATATTCGTTTTTTCTCTGCTACCAACCATTTTTCCATCAAAAAAGTTCATACCGTTTTTGGACAGCTATCATTTTTTAAATTTTTATACTTAGTGAAAAGGACATTAATTTAATATTCTTGTCTTCATGAGATACATTCTTGCATCAATCTAAGAAAATACAATGACCATACATTTGTTGAGATAAACAGTGAACCCATTTTTCATGATTTCGCAGTGTGAATTGATGTTTCCTTCTGTTTTCTCACAAATACAGGTCACGACCCCTTCCTTCATTTGCTTTCACTCCATTCTAGAGGTGCCCAATCACCTTCCTCATCACCGTGACCGACATATTTACCACGTTGCTAGTTACCAATGGTGTCACAAACGTAAAATTGGATGCAGTATTATCATACCAATACCGCGAAGCACTCCATGTTCCGCTTGGGCTTGACCAACAATTGCCTGTTAAATATAATGTTCCTGGTCAGAATACAATGTGAGTGGTCTGGTTCTGTGAACATGTCTTAGCTAAGGTAAATAGAATTAACTTGTCCTGAGTTGACTGTTTGTGTAAGATAAGACTGTACATTTTGTCTTATTGGAAGCTTCATACATTTTTCATTGATTTTTTATCCGTATTTCCATCTAGATCACCACGAGAAGCAAATCCTATACTTGAGCTATTGGAGAAAATCTGTAAAACAACAGGATTTACAATGAGATAAGGATTGTATGGAGTGTAAATATTACATAACTTGGAGTGATTATCAGGGACTCGGGCAGCTATGAAGAGTTTTGCTCAGCGTCACATTTTTTTGTTGTGAATCTGAAATGACTTGGGAAATGTACGGGTCCGTTGATTGATTTGTGGTGCACCAGGGGTAATTGCAAATAGGTGCATAGAAGGAAAAGTTTTCGACAATTTGTAATTAAGGTATAATTATTAATTAAATTATTTTTTTGTTTGTTATATCAGCATTAAATAAACAAAAAAGAGTTCAATTTTTATCTATCAATGGGTACATTTCAAAGTCATATTTAGTCCAATATCCGTTTATTTATCAACAGAAAATGTATCATACCAGAGACTTATAAAGCAATGCAGTAGAATGCGCCACTCCAATTTGTCGTCAGGGGCTTAGACGTGACCTCACACTTGAAATTTATTGTTGGTACTAGCTACGTCTAGCTCTTCATCATGGTCTATATATGTATTCGGAATACTGATATTCCACCAATAGGAACTGATTTTGTGTTTACTTAGTAAAAACTGTGCCTCACAACAAAAAATCTATTATGTTACAAAGTAGATAAGTTCGTTGACGAAACTTAAAACAATTATCAGATATATTTCTTAGTTGAGCCATTTAAATTTAGGACTGATTAAAGAAAACATTATGGGAAACAGACGGCCATCTTGAATCTAGAGAGTTAGAATTCTCAAAATGTACTGGAGGGATCTTTATCAAATTTCTTGTGTAGGTTTCCCATGGTCCCCAGATATGTATTTTGAATTCATGAACTAATCAAGGGGAAAAACAATAAGGCCGAAAGGCAGCCATCTTGAATTTTGAAAGGTTAAGTTTGTTTAAATTTGCACCGTTTTCTCAGAAAGTACCGACAGGTGGCCATCTTGAATTTTTAGAGCTCCTGTTTATTTGTGAGGGAACCCAAAATGGAACAGTTTTTAAAGAAAAATATCCACATTTCCCATTTAGGTTCTAGAACACCAATTATTTTACTATAATGAAACAATATATGCATTTAGCTTTCATTTGACATATTTCTTGGGTATCACCATTGCGTGCGTCTATTTATAGACGTCATTTCGTCTAGTCAGGTTCACTTGAATTATTTAGCTTGCCGATAACCCACAATGGAACACCTGCTCTTATTATTCAGTTTATGAAAATAAATGACAGTATTTAATATATTTTGCTACATTTTGAAGAAAGTTTTCATATAAATTTTAGTTGACTATTCATAAAAAAAATCATTTTTAACAAAAACAGGTGTTAAGAAATATGTTTGGAGATATTGATGATGTCGCATCATTTTTTCTTTCTTTTTTTTTTGCTTTCAATATTTCGAGGAGTTCATGAGCAAAATGCAAGAGGTAGGCACACAAAACTCCTATTGCTTGAAACTATATGAATTTTGATTAAGAATATATACCACTCATTTGTATAACAAAATAAACATGTTGCATCAAAATGTGATGTGTCCTAACATTAGCACTATTTTTCAGAAAGAGCGATCTTTCTCAAAACTTCTCATGTAGGGTTCCCCATGGTTTTTTTTTTATTGTGCATTTTGAATTTGGAACTGATCCAAACAAATTCGCCTATCATGTAGCCATCTTGAATTTTGAGAGTTTGTTAGGGATTTTTTCTTAGAAAGTACTGGAAGAAGTTACAATGACAATTTCCATGGCATATGTGCAATCTTTGTGTCACAAAAAGGGTGGCATAATAGGATCATGCTGCCAAACTATTTCCTGACCTGCTGAAGGAACTCGGTCATCTAGTTTCAATTTTGATTTGGATCCAAAATTAACCAGACGCCAAAGGAGCATTAAGATGACGACCAGATGTATTTGGCTTTTCTTTTCAAACTTTGTAGCACCCCAAGCAAACATGCTCTGGTAAAATATCATTATCCTAATTACCTTAAATACATTTGTAATTACCTTCAAACATTGCCTTTTTGAAAACAAAAATACCTAAGAGTCCTTATATTTTACCTGTAGCTTGCGATTGCTGGCATAGAATGCTACAAGTTTGTGAAAAGAAACAAGCAAATTTATATCCCCCGTTTGCAGGACATATTGTAGGTAAACATTATTGAGGTTAGGTTTAAACATGTGAGTATAGTGCTGTTGAGACATAAAGTATAGCTTGAAACTTGAAGATTTTTTTTTATACAGAAACTGCACATAGTGATGTTTGTCATTAATCAAGGGGCCATAACTCTGCAAAATGGTAGAGTCCGATTGAAGTGGTTGTCAAACTTGGCCGAACCCTTAATGCGTTGAACCCTGTTACTAAGTTTGTAGAAAATCGGATAATATTTGCGAGAGTTAATAAACAGAAACGGCATATAATGATGTTATTGTTATTCAAGGGGCCATCACTCCGCCAAATAAAGTCAGCTGAAAGTGGTCATCGAACTTGGTCGAGCCCTTAAGGCATTTAACCATGTTACCAAGCTTGAAGAAAATCGGTTAACATTTGTTGTAGTTATTGCACGGAATCGAAGCTTGACAGATAGACGACAAACCCAAATAAATATCCCCCATGGTATGCCTACTTTCCCTCTTTTGAGCCACTAATATGTCTAGGCCTCTTATGAGCCACTTATATGTCTAGGCCTCTTAGGAGCCACTGATATGTCTATGCCTCTTATGGGCCACTAAAATGTCTAGGCCTCATATGAGCCTCTTATATGTCTAGGCCTCTTATGGGCCACTAAAATATCTAGGCCTCTTATAGACCACTAATATGTCTAGGCCTCTTATTGGCCACTAAAATGTCTAGGGCTCTTATGAGACACTAATATGTCCAGGCCCCTATTATGGGCCACTCAAATGTTTAGGCCTTTTTCAAGACTTTGGCAAGTCGCAGGTCCAGGTAAGCTTAATATGGCTTCAAGTGCCAATCATGATTTATGTACAATTATGCTTGCCTTGTATGCTGACTACTCAAATTTCTCTATCAAGTTTGATGCTATACAATATTAGTGTTTATTAAGTGAGGCTATGATCTGATTGGCTGATGGTTTCCTTATGACTACATTTGAAGGATCAATAAAATTTTAGTGAAACTTGTCTTATATGCTTAGCTTGCATAGCAATACTTTCTACCCAAGACGATGTACGGTCCCTTGCTAAAGTTTCATGTTCAGCGTATTTGTATATATTAAATGCGGATTCTGTGATCTGATTGGCTGATCGATTCCGGAATGTGTAGGAATTATTTATTTCTCATGGAACGAGCCTGGAAAACTTGGTACCTAATTTCCGCTCTCAACCTCAATGATCGTCCCAATTTGTAAATATAAGATGAGGTTGCTGCCACACGATCATAGTAATCTACTGTATACTGGTTCGCTGCATTGAAACCTTCACCTTTATCGCCCTATGTTATGAGGGCAAAATTAACACTGAGCGAAAATGGTTCCACCAGCGCAGTGAAGGCTGAAACATTTCATCTTAAGAGTGACAACAAATAACTGCTTTTCATTCCTTCATCACATGTAAATTGCAATCAGCCATTATTCCATCTAAACTGACACAGGTAACATATCAACTTCTGTGGAATCGCAATCAGCAAGTCTTTACAAATCAGTGAATAGCTGCAGAGATACCTCCTATCTCCCCGTTGGAGTGTTTGTCGACATGTTTATTCTAAACTGTCTTCATCATTCAAAGATGAAAGTAATATGTCATATTTGGTCAAGTATGCATACTCAATAGAAATATCTTTGAGAAATTGAAAGATTTGATATTTTTACTAAAACCACTGGCATGTATCACAGAACATGCAAATGCCATGATCAGTCAAGAACAATATACTACTCAAATTCAGAGATCAAAGTTAAATATTTTATAATAATTGTGATTTTAAGCACAAACAAATATTCCAATCAGTGATAGCACACTAATGATCAATCCTGCCCCTGTTACTTCCTTCGGTTTTTGTTTTTCACATTTGTTTGGGCATAAAACTGAGAGCCTATCTTCTTGGTTTTGGATTCTCTGTCTAATCGACGTCTCTGTAACACAAAACAATATCATGTTATGAGTTCTATATTTACATGGCAAGTGAAAGACTGACTTTGCTCAACACAAATAACTGATTTTTTCAAGGGTGTACATGATCTTCATTCAGTCACTTCACCAGGGCAAGAAGGCATAAAAAATGCATCTATCTTAAATGATTCAACAAGGTTGTTTTTTATGTTGAAACCGACATCAAATAGCATCTCAATGATATTCACCAGAACAAGGGGTTCATTTTTAGCACTTAGACAAAGGCAGCAAGCAAAGTGAGTTTTAGTAAGAGAAAAAGGGGACAATGTACAAATGTAGCACATCATCTGTCTTAACAATCATGATCACAGGTACTACTAAGGATAGCACAGTCTGCTATAAAAACCTATCTAAACAATCACAGGTACTACTAAGAATAGCACAGTCTGCTATAAAAACCTATCTTAACAATCACAGGTACTACTAAGAATAGCACAGTCTGCTATAAAACCCTATCTTAACAATCACAGTTACTACTAAGGATATAGCACAGCCTGCTATAAAAACCTATCTTAACAATCACAGTTACTACTAAGGATATAGCACAGCCTGCTATAAAAACCTATCTTAACAATCACAGTTACTACTAAGGATATAGCACAGCCTGCTATAAAAACCTATCTTAACAATCACAGGTACTACTAAGGATAGCACAGTCTGCTATAGAAACCTATCTTAACAATCACTGTTACTACTAAGGATAGCACAGTCTGCTATATAAACCTATCTTAACAATCACAGTTACTACTAAGGATAGCACAGTCTGCTATATAAACTTATCTTAACAATCACATGTACTTTTAAAGATAGCACAGTCTGCTATAAAAACCTATCTTAACAATCACATGTACTACTTAGGATAGCACAGTCTGCCATAGAAACCTATCTTAACAATCACAGGTACTACCAAGCATAAAGCACAGTCTGCTATAAAAACCTATCTTAACAATCACAGGTACTACTAAGGATATAGCACAGTCTGCTATAAAAACCTATCTAAACAATCACGGGTACTACTAAGGATAGCACCGTCTGCTATAAAAACCTATCTTAACAATCACAGGTACTACTAAGGATATAGCACAACCTGCTATAAAAACCTATCTGAACAATCACGGGTACTACTAAGCATAGCACCGTCTGCTATAAAAACCTATCTTAACAATCACAGGTACTACTAAGGATATAGCACAACCTGCTATAAAAACCTATCTAAACAATCACGGGTACTACTAAGGATAGCACCGTCTGCTATAAAAACCTATCTTAACAATCACTGGTACTACTAAGGATAGCACAGTTTGCTATAAAAACCTATCTTAACAATCACAGGTACTACTAAAGATAGCACAGTCTGCTATAAAAACCTATCTTAACAATCACGGGTACTACTAAGGATAGCACAGTCTGCTATAAAAAGCTATCTTATAACAATCACAGGTACTACTAAGGATATAGCACAACCTGCTATAAAAACCTATCAAACAATCACGGGTACTACTAAGAATAGCACAGTCTGCTATAAAAACCTATCTTAACAATCACATGTACTACTAAGGATAGCTCAGTCTGCTATATAAACCTATCTTAACAATCACAGGTACTACTAAGGATAGCACAGTCTGCTATAAAAACCTATCTTAACAATTACATGTGTAGCTGTGTACTCATATACACCTGCCAAGTCACCTACATTTGCATGTGGTCAACTAGCCTGAGTTAATAATTTCCTCTGGCCCCGACACCAGACTTTTACAATATGGGTATCACGGCCAGAGGATACGCAGGGTTCTTGTCAACCTGAAAATGAACTTTATGACCTGCACTGATCGTATTTTGAATCTCCTGCATTTACATGTTTTAATATACAAACTGGAACTAGAACCTACCTAACAAATTTTAATGTCATAAATTCAAATGCAAATTTCGATTTCCACATTTAAGACAGTGAAAGTAATACAGCCCAAAAATCAGAACTATAAAATAAAAGTAAGAGTTATTTATAAGACCCAGCTAAACCAGGTTATTTTGTTACTTGTGACATACCTGTTTACTATTTAGTTTCTGCTTCTTTGGCGAGTCCTCTTCCTCGTCAATCTCTGTGACAACAAACTTGCCACTTCTGCTCTGCTTAACCATTTCCGGCTTCCTTTTGCGCGTTTGTGTGAGGGACCCTGTTTTATCGTCACACTCTACATCAAATCTGACTTTCTTTGTACTGTTCTTCCCCAGTGACTGAGAACCATTCTCCCCAATGTCCTTGACCTTATCACAAGAGTCAGTATCGTTCACACCTATGTCCAGTACCTCACACTGCTCATCATTCACAAAATCCTTCATACATTTTTTCATTTCATTGCTGTGTTTTATGCTGTTTTCCCTACACTTTTCTTGTTTAGTGACTAAATCACTGGTTGTCTCAGAGTTGTCCTTTTTATTCTTTTCATCATCCTCTCTGTTCTCTGCATCTACCTCCTCCTCTTCTTCTTCCTCAGATTCGGAAACCTCAGAATCATCCCCCTCCAATGTGTCCAGTTCCAATTTTTTTATGTCTTCAGCTATGAAAGTAGGGGCCACATTAATTTTACTGAGGTCTTGTCGTACCTTTGGTATCACTACCTTTTTCACCTTTGCCTCCCCAATGGTCTCTGTTGCTTCTATATCCTTGGACTCAGTTGTCTCCTCTTGTTTTGCTTGTACCTTTGCAGCTTCATCAGCACTTTGCCCTTGCTCAACTGCGTTTCCAGTCTGTTGTTCTGTACTACTGATGCTGCTCTCACCCTTGAAAGAAAATCAACAATTTGATTGAATGTGTTTAGTTGTGTGTATCGTGATGTAGAAGTTATAAATAAAATACCATCACTTTCTTCCTTGTATCATTGTGAGATTCTTCTTTAGAGTTGGAATTACCAGGTATCTAGTTATAAGAATATGTTTACAGATAGATGTGATGGGTTTGGAATTAAGAGACAACAAGGATGTGTAAAAAGAAAAAATGAACACTACTACAATAGCCGACAATTAAACATATAAGAGGACCATGGGCCTGATCTTATCAATCACCTGAGACACTGCATTACAGTACATGTAGATGTACAAAGGATATATATGATGATTCCTGCCAAATCGGAATGAAATCAATCTGTTCTTAAAAGAGAAATAAAAGAAGTGAAAAATTTCTACATGACACTACTGGTGACCTCAAACATGGCACTAATTGTCCCCCAAACCATCGTCAAGTGAAGACACCTACCTCCTCGCTGCCAGGCGGCCGTACAAAGTAGGGAATCTTCCCTCTCTGCCAGTCATTCAGAACCATTTTAGCCATGGTGCTGAAGTCTGGTTCTCCACCCTGATAAGGACACATAAACACTGTATAGATACACATTGTACATCATACAATATTACATGACACACATTTCCCTACACCCTGATAAGGACACATAAATATTGTATATAGATACACATTGTACATCATATAATATTACATGACACACATTTCCCTACACCCTGATAAGGACACATAAACACTGCATAGATACACATTGTACATCATACAATATTACATGAAACACATTTCCCTACACCCTCATTGGCTGAATCATAATGACGTTGAGGTCGATGATTTGTGAATATTAACTTGGTGTTACCATTTTTAGAAACAGCAGGTCAATATTCACTTGATGACGTCATTTCAACTGTTACGTCATAACATTTACATTTCCACTGCAAAGAGCCAAGATGTTTCTATTGGGCCTAATGTATGTTATTTCCGTATAACATACATTGGGCCATTGTGAAGTCGCTACGCTTATGACGTCATAACTGTAACGTTGGAGATTGCACTGCTCCACTGTCAACTGGTGGCTGTTCTGTGTATGGATTTACCCTGACGTTGAAATGCGTTCAGACTAATATTATGTCTATATTTTTGTGTAAACTGTAAGTTGATCAACATAAAATGTAAATATAAGTATTGGATGACATATTTTTGATATGCATTGGTGTGTAACATACATTGGCTTACCTAATTAAACATGGAGCGCGCAATATATAGGTAAGCAAATGTATGTTACACACCAATGCATGTCAAAAATATGACAACCAATCCTGAAATGCTCTCCGACACATTCTTGCTTCATGATTAAAGCTTTATTTAGCGTCTATATATATATGGTTATTTGGACCTGAGAAAATGATATCAACATCCACTTCATCTCGGTCACATCACTTTATGACATCACTTCAAATTTGTTACACAATTTGATATATATTATAACAATAAAGGACTTTTATCACGGTGAATATGTGGTTATACGGACCTGAAACAGTAATATTAACCTTAACTTCATCTCGTTCAATATTGCTTTGTCCGGTTATTTGACCACACGTTCACCAAAACAAAAGTCCACAAATACATTGTACATATATACATAAACACAGTACATACATACATAAACACAGTACATACATACATAAACACAGTATATACATACATAAACAGTGCATACATACATAAACACAGTATATACATACATACACACAGTGCATACATAAACACAGTATATACATACATAAACACAGTATATACATACATAAACACAGTATATATGTATATAAATATTGTACATAGGTCAAAAGTACATAAAAAGCTTAATCAAAACCATATTTTTATCTGATAAAGTTAATTTACCTAAAAATGACATAACTGCCAACCAATTCTCCATGAAACAATATGGAGTTTTCTCTTCTGACATCTGTATGCAGTGAAAAGTTAACCATATTGTGAAATATCATTTGTTTTGAGCAACAATACTGAAACCATTTTGCCTGCACTCAGTTATTTTGAAAACAATCTTCAAGTCAACCAAGTCCATATATTGTGTCATCCTTGATACCTCAAGGAGACACTAACAGAATCCCCCTTACCTTTCTCACACTTATATTCATTCTAACTAGACTTATCACTACTTACCTTGAGTAGTTTTCCACACTTTTTGGCAAGTTGCTCGAGAAAGTTCTCAGCGCTGGTCCATTCCTGTACCTTATAGGTCTGTTTTATGTAATCTTTCTTCACACGTTTTAACAAATCAGAGATGTAGTCCTCTGGTGTCTTCACCATTTCTACACGCACCTGCGCAGTCGACAAAGACAGATTACATATCTACAGGTACTTTATCAAATGACTGAGTGAAGTGTAAAACTGAGATCAAGTTTGCATCTCTTATATGTCTCTAGCCAACCCTAGGTTTTGTATAAAAGAAAATCAAAATATAAAAACCACACTGAATGAACTGATGTTTCCTGCTACCACAGCGAATTATTATGGAAGCAAAGTGACAATATCATGGCTCATTTTCATATTTAAAATTATGGAAGCAACGTGCAATATCATGACTCATTTTCATATTTGAAATTATGGAAGCAACGTGCAATATCATGGCTCATTTTCATATTTGAAATTATGGAAGCAAAGTGACAATATCATGGCTCATTTTCATATTTGAAATTATGGAAGCAAAGTGACAATATCATGGCTCATTTTCATATTTGAAATTATGGAAGCAAAGTGCAATATCATGGCTCATTTTCATATTTTAAATTATGGAAGCAACGTGCAATATCATAGCTAATTTTCATATTTGAAATGCCTAAGTACTGCTACCTAAACTGACCTTGTTATCACAGGGGCATGGATCGCTTTACTTGTAATATTGAAAAATAGGGGTCTCCTCTCCTAAAAAATATTTGTAGTAGAGGAGACCCCTATTTTTTAATATTACAAGTAAAGCGATCCATGCCCCTGTGCTTGTTATCATAATCTTGGTTTTTAACATTTCAGGTGGGAAGATAAACATATGAATGGACTTAAAAATGTAATATTTTTGCCCAACATGACTATAAATACAACAGCTAGTAGCATTTAACAGTGTATGCCATCCATTCCCACAGCTACTTACAATTCCTTTGAGGACAAAATCAGATTTGGAATCTGCTGAAGGATACACCACACCTGGACAGTCGACCAGGTAAATCCTCCTCATAAGCGTCACATACTGCCACACCTGAAAAATACAGCCAGAAAATGGACAATTCAGATGTAATTTGCAATGAAAGAAATATCCACCAACTTCTGAAATAAAGTTTATATGCCTACAGATACATGTATCTCAATATGTACAGTGGGTGGGTCCAAGGGGGCTTTTCTGGGCTGCAGCAACCTTTTTTTCACTACATGTATTTTCACATTTTTATCACTTAGAAACACCCTCTACTAGAAATTTTAGAACAACCTCACCAGATTGATCTCTGAAGCAATCTTGATCATGTTAACTACATGTATGTTAGTTTTCAACTTATGTTTTCTGTACACCTGTTGGTATGTTGAGTCCAGGCACTATCTTAGTCAAGGTGAAGACTATTCCAGATGTAAACTAGAAATTGTTTGCTAACAATTTGACGGGCTTTTCACTGCAAGTACTGATTTGGTCTTCTAATAATAACCTGTGCAAGTCAACAGTAGCTGGCTGCGTAGTGGGGGATTCCCCGAGTGCGAAATGATGTCATAAAAAGAACGGATAAATATAGGCAGCCAATGGGCTTAGTTGTAGACGAAGGTAGTCCGTAAAAGGCATATAGTCCGTCCACTATGTACATGAGGATGGTGAATTGAAATAGCTGTCTATATCGGTTGGGTTTGCCACGCCAAAGAAAGGCTGATGTTTACCCACCGCAGGAGAGATGTAAACTGTCCATATTTTTAAGATTGGGAGTGCGTAGTAATCCATGTAGTATTACCAGCGTGTATTACCGGTAGATGTTTTGATAAAAATCAAAGTACTGAGAGTACTGAAAGCATGTTACAATCGCACAAAAATGAAAACGGTTTTTGACTTTCGCCTTTGAAATTATATTTAGAGTAGGTCAAGGTCATTCATTTGCACACACGTTAAAGCCCTTCATTCAAGCATGCTTCTTTGCCAAACATCGTTACCCTGGAATAATTGGTGATTCAGAAATGGTCGTTTCAATATTTTTTACATATATGACCTCTGTGACCTTGAAAGTCATTTAAGGTCAATCATTTTTTCAAACTTGATAGTCAATCATCTGACCATGTTAATGTATTAAATAGTAGGACTCTAGGCCTTGTAGAACTTTAGAAGAAGTTTTTTGAAGTCATTATCTTGAAATAGCACATATGAAGTTTTTGACCTTGATTGTGACCTTGATTGTGACCTTGATAGTTGATTAATGTCAACCATTTTTTTCAAACCTGATACCCCGACATCTCTGAATCTTTATTATTAAATATCAAAACTCTAGACCTTGTGGAACTTAAGAAGAAGATTTTTCAAGGTTGGTACCCAATATAGTGCATTTTAACTTTGACCCCTGCCTGAAACCGGAAATTGACATTTTTTGTTAAAACAGTATGAAAGAAAAAGTTTGCCCTTGGCTATCTCTATATGATATCTAAAGATCAACCTCGTGTTTGATATTGTTAACGAAATATATTGGTAAAGGCTGTTAACCAATCAGAGTTCGTAAAGGCCATCTTGGAATATTAATTGCTCCAAAAAGTAACATACGTTCGTAAGGATTAATATTGCAATGGCAGAATTGGAGAAGAAGATCGTTGAAGTTTTAACATATTGTCAGCATTTTAAAAGATCAAAGGAAATATTCAAAATGGCGTACAACGTTAACGGTAAATGTTACAGAAAAACTAAAGGCAACGAATTCATCGGAATGACATTCTTCATCAATCTATTGAAGAATTTTTCAAAAAAAATGAAAAAAGGAATGTTTTTAAAAAAAATGGTGAACTTTCAACCCAAAGGCACACTTTTTAATTTGAAATATATTGTATGAACACGTAGTGAGAAAAAGTTAGATATGGAAATTATCTACAAATAATTCACTTTCACAAATTCTGTACAATCAACGGTTTTTGAGTTATAGCGGTTTTAAAGATTTTACCCTATGACGTCATGGCGGCCATTTTGTTTTTTGGATGAAGTTGAAAATGTTACCAAATGTTAGAAGACATCTAGGGAAACTTTTCCCGTTACAACTAAGCGAAATATTTGTCATTGATATTGGAGTAAAACAAGTTTTAATATATTGCGAAATTTTTAAAAGATCAAAGGAAATATTTCAAAATGATGTACAACCTTAACGGTAAATGTTACAGAAAAACTTAAGACATCAGTTTCATCGGAACGATATCCTCCATCGATCTGTAGAAGTATTTTTCAAAAACAATGAAAATTGAATGTTTTTAAAAAAATGGTGACCTTTGACCAAATAGAGAGCTTTTTTATTTGAAATATTTTGTATTAACATGTAATGAAAAACAAGAGGCCCATGGGCCTTAACGGTCACCTGAGTCTATAGTATTTATTTTTGTTGTTGAAATATGTACCAATTTGAGTAAAAAATAGTATAATGTTAACTTAACTTTGTCAGGACCATGAGCTGATCATTCCTAGACAAATTTTAAGTGAGATCGGCCTATTAGAACTTAGTAGCAAAATAGCGGCCATGGCAGCCAAATTGTATTTCTGATTGACCCGAAAAATAACAACACTTTGTCAGGACCATGATTCGATCATTCCTACAAAGTTTCAGTTCAATCGGCCAAGTAGATCTTTACTTTAAGTTTGAAATAGTTTTCCAAAATGGCAGCCGTGGTGGCCATATTGGATTTCTGAT